CTAATACAATAACTACTAGGTAACAATAAATAATGAATAAATAAATAACAATAAATAATAAAATATGATAAGAAAGACTTAAAAAAAATCAATAATAAATAATTAAAAAAAAAACTTCTAACAGTATTTATGCAATTAAATTGGATTCATAATAAAACATTTAACTTTATAAACACTATTTCGAGGTAGCATCGTAACAATAAAGGTTATAAATATAATATCATCATGAAATTCATATTCTAAATCCTGTGCGGAATTTGCACAATTTAGAATTCTATATGTAAAAATTTGTGCGGAGTTTTCAAATTTTGTTCTCCGCACACTGAATTTCAAACACTGATCATACCTAGTAATTTTTATTTAAGTATAAATTTAGATACTAATATCAATTTTTTTAAAGAAACAAAGTTTTACCACACTATAAGTTAACAAAAAAATGTCATCTGATAATATATGTTAATAATGTAATCAAGAATTTACTGAATTTACTAACGTGTAACTCGAAACATTGACAAATGGAAATAACACGATAGGCAAATAAATACAGATCCTAGGAGTAAAGTAATAGAATGGATACCTTAGATGGATTTAAAGATATTAAAGAAATAACAAAAGGTGAACTTGGAACAATATGTAAGGCTAAGTTGATTGATGAACTAATTAAAAAAAGGATGTTGAAAAATCAACAGTGGGTAAACGGGACGTAGTATTGAAAAAGTTTGATAATTATTTTAAAAAATAAATGAAGTAAAATATTTATTAATTTCAGATATAGAGATTAGTTTATACAAATTATGTTTTATATTATAAATTAAAAATAAATATTTGGATAACAATTCATTTAAATCAATGAATTTTTCCATGCTCCATGGAAGTAAACAAAGTCCAGAAACGTATGGTTTTATATTATGTGTATGTGAAAATCAATTGAAAAATAATTTTAATAATTTTAATTAGAAACTAAAATTAGAATATTTTAAACGATTAGCCCAATTAAAGCTGGAGAAATGCCTCAAAGTTCATTCTTACGCTTTACAATTTATCCTAAATAAAGATTCTCTTATATCAAGTATCTTATAAAACGATTAAATTATTGCTGTAGTTATTATCAACTAAGTGATTGGCATATTTTTTGACGATTGAATTTTTATTCATCAAATGATTTTATTCCCATAAGATCAAGAAATGAAAAGATTATCATTCATATATGTAATAATTAATTAAATTTTTTGATAATTTTTCCACAATTTTTAAAACCCATAAATGAAGAAATTTCTGGATCACATAATTAATCTAGTCTTATTATTTATCATTTTCAAAATACCATTAATGGATAATTCCAGAATTTATCTTTGGTAAAAAATTATAATTATTTAAATTTATTTTATTTATTTTTTTTTTATAATAATAATAATTAGAAGCATAAATTTTCACATTTATTCAAGAGATCTTGAAATGCATTTTCAATTTTACTAATTTTATTAGAGGAACAAAAAAAATATTTCTTGATTTCTTTTTTTCAAAAAAAATGGAAACCAGATAATATCATCATCAGAAATAATATGAAAGAAATAATTTATTTATTTTAGTGTATACAGTATCTTGTTATAAAATCAGTTAATTGATTTCTTTAAATTTAATTTATTATTTCTTGGATATAGGTTAATTTTTATGCATATAAAAAAAAAGATTAGATAAAATTTATTTCAATTCAAATAATTAATTAAAAAATATATTTCATTTCATGTCATGATAAATTAGAAATGACGTAAACATCAAACTTTTGAATTATATCGTGTAATGGTGATGATAATAATAATAAAAGTAATAGGATTTTAATAGTCTATTTAAAATATCCAATAAAAAATTCATGCAAATCCGCAAATAATAAATTTATTATTATTCTTATCAAAATTCACACCATTTAATGCTTTAGAAAAAAATATTGAAATTGAAAGAACCCTTAACAACTCGTAAATAATAAAATAATGTCACCAATACTAGAAGAAGTAATAGTGATAAAATTACTTGTAATATTAAAAGCAGTAATTTATTTATTAAAAATTGTGATAATAAATAATTTTAATGACACAATCATCATTACGTAATCAATGAAATTTAATCTTTTAGCATGGGATAATACGGTGGAAATAAAATATTTTCATTAAAAAACTGGAAATCAAAATTTCATGTAAAATATTCCGAAGAGGAAATTTATTATTATGGCATTTCAGAACGCCATATTTTTGGCTTATATTTTTGAAATGATGATTTTAGAATGGGATCGGAAGTATCTTATTGTTGGTGCAATATATTTGTTATTGTAAAATCTTATTAAAACAACAGAGGAATATTAGTGATCATGAGATTATTTAAGTCATTAAAGAATAGTATTTACTATGAAACATTCTTCATATATATTTTAATATGCTTTTTATATGAATTAAAATATATTTTATATATCTGACATTAATTATACAAATGTTAAATAAAAGTATCATCTATTGTTTGAAAAAAAATTGATCATTTAACATAATATTTTTTTATGAATTTAGACGAGAATTTTATTTAGGAATAATTGCTTAATAATTATTTCCATCTAAATCTAACAATAAGATAATGTTCTCATTTAAATCAATAAGATTTATTCTTCTGACCACAAATAATAACAATAATTATGGAATTTTCCTGAATCTAGACGTTTTTTGGACACATGGCAATAACATTTGCTAACTGCGGAAAGATCTAACGTCAGATTTTTTTTTGAAATTATATGTTGAGACAATGATGTAATTTGATAAAAAACAGTATACCAAGAAATATATATATATATATATTTATTTATTCTTTAACTTCAATATTGCAAAATCCACACCGAGAATTCATTCAATGAGTCTAAAATCCAGATCTAAATATGAAGCCGTTGCTTCGGAACTTGTTAATTGTTCACAATTTGGTGTAGACGATATTTTTTTAAGAATTTTAAGAATTTTATATACAATTTTCTTTTTAATACTTTAATTTTTACTTTTAAATAGTTCTTAAAGAAGATAGTAACACTGTTGATACATGCTAGAACTAGAAATGTCTATGCTGGTGTTTGAGGTAAGGTTATCATTATCATTATCATTATCATTATTATTATCATTATAATTAAAAAAAAATTTTCATATAGAGGCGGTTTTATGCTAGTCCACCGTCCTTTCCTTCAGATTAATTGATTTTCGAGAGCACAAACCCTGCGTTATCTTTGGCTAGACTATTGGCTATAGCTGTGCCGTAATATTCTTTAATTTATTTATGTTTCATTTATAAATTCATTATTTTACAAAAAATATATATATATATATAGTGTCAGCTCTATTTTTCATTGATTCACTTAAAAAGTCGCTAAAATTCACGGGACTAAAGAAAAATAAAAAATGTTAAATAAAAAGACGGAATACTAAATAGAAAAGGCTTCTTGAACCATCGCTTAAACTCTGGATTTCCTAAGGAATTAGATGAGCAGTATACAGTGGAGTGGTTAATCTAAAAAATAATGACTAGTTCATTAATATATAACCAGAGTTATGCGAATTTATATTTTCAAGCAATTCATCAATTATTCCATGAATTTATGTAATAATTGATGATACTGACATTACATGATAACCATTAATTGGAATAGGTGTAGTTATATTCTTTCATGTCATGAGATTATATGCTTAAAAGATTTAGATCTTTCCGTTGTTCTTGAACTTTAACATTAAATTAGTTTAATTTAATGTTGATTTTAATTTAATATGATGTTTTAATAATTACAAAATTTAAGTTATAAATAATAAAATCATATAAAACTATAAAAAAAGAAAATCAAACAATATTACTTAATAAATTTTTTTCATTAATAAAATTATTATATAAAAATTGCATAAATTCATATACCGTTGATTTTTCTTTTCAATGTAACGAAATAATAAATAATTCAATGAAACACAACACATAACTCAATTTTTAAATATTATAACTAAATATATTTTCCGATTTGATATTATGATTAAAATATTAAATATCATTTGAAATATTATTTTTCCATATCAATTATATCCAGTTGAACTCCATATTTTTCAATAACTTTAAAATGTTCATCACTTAGTTTAAATTGTCGCAATCGTGTACGTTTTACAATAATCTTTTTATTTCCTTCTCCTTTATAGCACCACCCTTCAAAAAGATTTCTTAAGCTACTGGCACTAATAATCCATGGATCATAGTTCATTTTAGTTTGAATTTCAATAGTTTCAAGTGACTCTGGTACATTTTTGGCCATTTGACATAATAATTTATTAGCATCCAATCCTTTTTCAATACCAAATGAAAATCTTCTTAATTCATTAAAATTATTATTAAATATTGCTATTACTTGTTCAGGGCGTAGATTTGGTAAAGTTAATTTGGTAATCTTTGTACAATAATTTAAAATTGCTGAAAATGAATCAAATGTAATTTCGGGATATAATTCTAGATAAATATTTCTTAAATTTGAATTAGCAGTTTCGAAAATTTTTATAATAAATTCTTGAGGACACCAATTAGAATCAAAATAATGAAAACTGCTTAATTGAGTAAATGACGAAGCCAAGGATAAGCAATCTGAATTATTTAATCCGTAACAATCTTCAATATAAAGTTCTTGAAGTGAAGTAAATTGCATAATTGGTGGTGATTTCTCCATACAACGATAATAATATAACTTTTTTAAACGAAGACTCTTTAATGTTTCTTTTTGACTGATGATAGCCCAAAATAGTAAATGACAATCTGTATAACTATTATCAATAATTGATAGATTTTCCAACCGTTTTTGACCGCTAATAAGTTTTGTTAATAATTGCTCTTGATAAGATGAATACGAATTAATTTCCAAATCCATATTTAAAAGATTATGACAAATTAATACCAATAATTCATATAAAGGTCTAAACTGGTCATCATTCGCTACTGAAATAAACGTTTTTAATTTCTTAAATACTTTCAGGGCACCAGGTAACTTGAGAATTGAAACAATTGAATCACCATAATCGTCAAAATTTGCAGAAAAATTCCTTGCAACTTTCGCCAATTTAAAATATTCCAGATATGAGCAACGATTTATTATTAATTTACATATCTCACGAAATAAAATTCTTGATTCATTCTTATTATTATTTGAACCAATAATTTGTTGTGAATATATGGAAATAAAATGAACTAAATTATCAGTTCTAAATTTATGAATGAATGATGGATAATCAAAAATGGCTTGAGGTGGTGATTATGATAAATCAAATCCATTTTTGGTAAGTAAAGTTCTAGCTTGAACATCCATACATGATATATAAGTTCGAATACATAATGCTTTCTTCCTCAGCTTCTCATCATCTGTACAACATTCTTGGTCCAAAGGTAATTTCCAAAGTAAAGGTATAGTAATATTACACCAGTTTCGATTAACTAATAAAAATGAATATAAATCTTCAGAACGAAGTGATTGAACATTATTAAAAATTTTAATTAATATTTCTGTGGGAATTTTAGTTGTCATTTTTTGTCAAACGAAAATTTTCGAAAATTTTTTAAAATATTAAAATTATGGAAGATGAAATCCGTAATATTACGGAATTTGAACATTTAAAAATAGTATAAATTTTTTTTTTTAAAAAAATAGTATGATTCAATGCAATGGTGGTGTAACAACTTGCCAAAATAATAATTAAAAATACTGCACAACGTACTCAGATACTATAACTGTAAATATAAAGCAAGAAATATTATTAATAATCTTTTTTATGATCTATATTTAGAATGAGTTCCTTTTAAAAAAAATCGAGCAACGTGGTTTCAGTCAAATAACTTGAAAAATTAATAGAGGTATATGCCACAAAGGTACTGTATTAATGAACTAAAATTGTTTTGAGATAATTAATAGTTACTAAGCTGGTTTCTTTTGTTATTCATAATTCGTTAATATTATAATTAAGATTATTAATTGATTTTAAATCGATAATTATAATTCTAATCGAATAATACAATTTTTAAATTTGTTAAAGAATTTACGAAATTATATTTGAATTCACAACATGTTTTATATTATATTTTTTTTCAAGATAAAATAGAAATTACAAAAGTGAAAACAAATCCAGAGATAGGAAATTTTTAGAATATTCGGTTTTCAAAAATTAGTTGATTTTAAATACTGATTGACAGCAAAATTAGTTCACTTTTATTTTAAGAACCATATTATTACTTGGCTTGTTTAACCAAAAAAACCTAAAAAACAATATTACTATTTGAGTTATTCAATCGTTTTAATTACCGTGTAATATAATATAAGTATATATGTGATTAAGAAATAATTGTGTAAAAGTCGTCATGTGTTTTTTTGGATATAAAATTATATGATACGCGGCTTGAAATTGTTTTAATATGCGGCAATATCTTTAAAGAAACCTATCTTTATTCACTATAAGGATTAAATTGTTATAGTAAATTAAAATGAAAAATCAAAATATTCTTTTGTTTTATAAATATTTTTTAAAAGTATAATAAATAATTTGATAATAAAAAAATAAAAAATATGAAAATATTAAAATGTAAAAAGCGATAATAATATAAAAATAAACAAATTTTCTTTAATCTTGAAAATGTGAGCCCGAATTTGAAGGACCAGCAATCCCACATTCTTCGGCTAAAATAAAAAAAAAAATAAATAAATAAATTTTACAAAATAATAAATAATAGTATTGGAACGGATAATACCAATAAATCGTGTGGTAATTAATATTAAGATACTGTTGTTCTTGTCATAAAATAAATTAATTAAATTTCACAAATAAATAAATATCGTATATATCATATAATTCATTAATCAAATGAATTGATCAGAATCAAATGCTGATGTAAAAACATGTTTATATTATTTTAATATGTATTACAATAGAGTTTTCATTAAGCATATAGATTGAGCGAATTACCCTGTTGTTCTTCTATAAATATGAAATATTAATAAAAAAAATAATTAATTAAATATAAATAAAATCATAAAAAAAAAAAGATAAACTTGTAAAATATATTTACCATCTGTGGCATTCTTAGGTTGAATGGAAAAATTGAATGTATATACTTTGCTGGTTTGAATTTTATAAATTTTGTTTCTTTTTTTTTTCGCTGGATTGAGCATTTTTAATTATTTGCTTATCCTTATTTTTTGTAAACTTGATTTAAAGAAATTTTTGATTTTTGTTTTCAAATTTATAGATTGAATAGTTGATTTTTGCTGTTTATCCATTTCTTCCATTTCTTCATATAATGACTTTAATAATAATTCCATTTTATCACATATTATATCTGCATCAGGTCTATTATCAGGATTAGCATCCCAGCATTGTTTCATCAAATTTCGTATTCTAATGGAATGTTTTCATAGATCGTTGGTCGATATCCTGAGGCTATAAATCTAAATCATGTCCACAGTCACCGAAAGGAGTTTTCCCAGTTATTACTTCCCACATTAAAATACCAATACTACAATAAACTTCAGGTGCAACATATGGGAGATTCCCATATATGCTATTTAATGGTTTGTCAATTAGCCCACTCAATCCTAAATCACTAATATACCATTGTGAAGTATATGCTCCATATAAAATATTTCCTGAGTGCAAATCTCTATGCATTATATTTTGGCTATGAATTTTATTTAAGCAATGTATTATCCCATTAATAAGATTATATTTTTTTTTAATAATGTAAGTGTATGATAATTATCTTTTATAAAATATCTTAAATCATTACTATAATAATGCAAAACCAAAATATAATCATGGGTTCTTGGATCTCTAGTTAATCCACGACATATAGCAAGTGATTGAAAAGCGTTATCAGTGTAAAACTTAAAGTTACCTAATAACCATATTTAATTATAAAATTAATATTTCTGAAAATTAAACAGAAATTAACAAATATAATAATAATAATTAAACTTACTTCTTGAAACCAATGTACATTATTGCTATTTGAATCATTTAATCTTTTAAGAATAATCATTCATCTTCCAAATCTTTCTAATATTTGTTTTTTTTTTTTGAATTCCATTTATAATAGTTTCCAACTTTCCATATTGCTGTATAAATGGTTGCACATCCTCCTTCTGTCAGATGCTCTATATTCTCAAATTGATTATAATCAATCCATTCAATGTCATGTCGGGGTGAAACGGTTTTTTCTGACATTCTTGAATTAATTTGTCAATTTCTTCATTTCCAGATGTCCAATTTCTAAAATTATTTTTTAATATTTGCGTATACAAAATTCACAGTATTGAGTTGCTTGATGCCAATTCTGAACATAGTTTCATTGCTGTTTTTCTACTGAATTATCGCCAATTTTATATTTATCATATACTTTCTGAAATTCATCTAATAAAAATTTCTTTTCATTTTTTTTAAGAGATGAATCATTTCTAATAATATATTTTCGACATTCTTCTCGCTGACTAATGGTTTTATAAATATTGTTGTTTAAAGATGAGTATGTTTTATCCCATTTTTCAATAGTCTCTCATTACAAACAATTTTTTGAGTAGCCATTTCCTATTTCCTTCAAATTTAATATAATTTGTTGTTTAATTATTTAATTGCAAAATAAAAAACAATATAAAATTACCGTGGATTAGGTTTTAATTATTACTTGTTATTTGAATATATAATACGTAAAACAATAATTAACGAGAAGAGTTATATATTAGTATGATATTGTGTAATTTGAAATAATATTTAGCAAGAAAAAATTAAATTTAAAACATTAAAAATATTGCGTTATATAGAAAACGAACTTACCATTTTGTACAAAATTCTTTATTCATACAATAAAAGGGAATCAATTTAAAAATTATGGAATTCCAAAAAAGATCTCCTATTATATTCTCATGAATATTTTTCCGATTTTAAATCGATTAATGAAGATCTTAATCTTTTATTGATATCGATATTAATTATTGCCATAACTTTGAATAATGTTGTTGTTGTATCAAAATATTTATGTAGAATACATTGTATCTGATCTGATATAAATAAATACATAAAAATAAATCTTTATATAGTATTAATAAACTTTAAACTTTTTTGTTCTAATAAATAATTAATTAATATTTTAGCTAGTTAAATTATATTCACAATAACATTTATCTCAGAGGTCTGATAAAATGTAATATCGTCGTTTAAATTGCTTTTTTTCGATTAAATACATTGTAAATAAAATAATATCATATCTAGCAATTTTCATCTAAGCATAAATTCAGATAATATATCACTTTTTTTAAAGAAACAAAGTTTACCACACTATAAGTGAACAAAAAAATGTCATCTGATAATATATGTCAAGAATGTAATCAAGAAATTTACTGAATTTACTAACGCCAGTATTTCAGTACTAAAGCATCAAGCAAAAAACAACAATAATATGTAAATAATAAAATATAAAAATACTTACCTAAAATAAAAAAAGCGAACTACAAGCTAAAATTCCAATTCACCTTGTATGCCATCCAAGGTTGGACCGAGAATAAAATCGAAATCAGAAACTAAAAAAAAAAATAAAAAATAAAAAATGAAATCTAGAAAATGAAAGAAAGCTCAGTTCAGTACTAAGCATGAAGCAAAAAATAATAATAATAAATAATAAAAATATAAATATGCTTACCTAAATAAAGAAAAACGAACCACCAGCCAAAATCCCAATCCACCTGGCCAACCTTGTATGCAGTCCAAGGTTGGACCAAGGATAAAATCGAAATCAAGAACTAAAAAAAAATAAAAAAAAGAAGTCTATAAAACAAAAACAAGCTCAGTTCAGTACTAAGCATCATACAAAAATAACAAAAAACAAATAATAATAAAAAATAAAAATACTTGCCTAAAGATAAAGAAAAGTGAACCACCAGCTGAAATCCTAATTCACCTGGCGCAACCTTGTATGCTGTCCAAGATTGGACTTAAGAAAAAAATTGAAACCAGCGAGAAAACCAAAAACAATAAAAAATGAATTGATTGAAAAAAGAAAGATTAATATAATGATCATGCAATAAATAATAAAATTAATAATTAGAATAAAGAATCCATAAAAAAAGAAAGAAGGCTCTGTTCAGTACAAAGCAATCATGCAATAAAGATCAAAAACCAAAAAATAAAATACTTATCAGAAAATAAAGAAAAGCGATCTACCAGCCAAAAATCCTAATCCACCTTGTGCGCTATCCAAGATTGACCAAGAGACCAGCGAACAGACCAAAAATGATAAAAATATAAATTTTAAAAATGAATCTACAAAAAAAAAAAGCAAAAAAAGAAGAACAATATCACAACAATTTGTACCTAAATACCTAAAACGAGGTCAAATACCAGAAATGATTCTTAAGCAAAATCGAGATGCTACAAAAAGAAATGATGGAAGAAAGTAATAAATTTCAGCATAGATTCTAGGTATCAATGATATTTGTGATAAATTTCAGCATAGATTCTAGATATCATAATGATAATAATTCGTTGAAATAATTTTTTGCAATAATAAATAATAATTCTTGTTCGTTTATTGTAATAATAATCGTTGTCTTTTTATAATGATAATATTTCTTTACTCGTTATTATAAATAAATTGCAAACAAGTAAGAGTTATATTTACCCATAAGCTTTGTCAATATAAAAATTTTTTTTATGAAAATAAATAATTTTTTGATAAAGAAATAGTTTTTTTATGTGCTAAAATGTTATTTTTTGATAAAAGTAAATAATTTTTGATAAAAAAAATAGTTTTTACGAGAGAAAATATCAAAAAAAAAAATTAATGGGAAAAATGGAAGAAATTATTTATAATAACGAGTAAACAAGTAAGAGTTATATTTAATCATAAGCTTCTTCAATATAAAATTTTTTTTAATGAAAACAATAATTTTTTGATAAAGAAATAATTTTTTTATGAGCGAAAATGTTAGTTTTTGATAAAAGTAAATAATTTTTGATAAAAGAAATAGTTTTTACGAGAAGCAAATATCAAAAAAATTTTCATGGGAAAAAATGGGGGAAGAAAATAGGACTTTTATTTATAAGAAAAGATTGCTACACAGAACGAATAAATAAATAAATGATTAACTCCGAATTTCGATTTGAGATTTTGACGAAATAATTACGTCAATATATGTATTATAAATAGTATATATTATATACATTTTAAATAAAGTTGCATATATATAATCGTACCACACTAACTATATATATACAGTATATATATTAAAAATGTTATTGAGTATGAGATTAATTAAATATGTTTTAGATCAAATAAAATATTTAATATTCTATCGAATTCGTATCAGTTTCGTTTTTGTATCATGTTAATTATCACTTTTTATATTTTTTATTATAAATAAATATAAATTTATAATAAAAGAATTAACAATAGAATTGGTTTTTTTTAATACAAGAACTACATTTATATATTAAAGAAAATATTGGCTCCGTCAAAATTACTTCTTTTTACGATAAATCAGATAACATGGTTTCAGTTTCTGCCCAATATCTATCTTACTTATTGAAAGTTTCTTGCTTGTAATTAAGATTTTCTTAAATTAATAGATATATAATGATGATATCTTTATTCCATATTAATATTTTATTGAAAAAATGAAAACATTTACACATTGTCCTGAATTGACTTACTTCCAGGTAATGGCAAGTTGTTCCGTCTTTTATATTATTTTGTATTTACTAAGTAACTTTGAAAGTTATTATTTATGAATAAAGAAGTGACAATGTAAACCTTTAATTTATAAATATATTTCATCTCACATAACAAAATATACATGAAGAATTTTTTAATGATTCAAATAATCTCACAATCACTTATTGAAAAATATTTCTCTGTTGTTTTAATTGTTTTAATAGGTTTTTTTTTTTTTTTACAATAATCATTTATATTGCATCAACAATCAGAGCCTGATTAGCCAATCAAATTGGAACTATATTGTAAAAAATTGGACTTCTGAAACCATTTATATTGCAACAACAACAATAACTATCTTGTGAAAAATTAGATACTTCTAATTTCATTCTAAAATCATCATCTCAAAAATAAAAGCCAAATTCATGTTGTTCAGAAATGTCATAATAATAAAACTGCCTGTTCGAAATATTTTACTCTACTAAGAGTAGAGCTTTGAATACTTCCATTTTTTTCAATGAAATCCCATGTTAAAGGATTAAATCCCTCCTAGAATTTCATTCGTTCATTTAACTTACAAAATGGCCACAGTATTATTAACACAACCATGGCACATATCCAAGAAACAAAGCCATTTCTGCCTCCTCTTAAAACCAATTTAAATTCATATCATATGGTATGTCTTACAAAGAATGTGGAATCGATTTATGATCAATCCATGATGAAATCTCTAATGCATATTCTTCATTGATTATAGTTGTATTTTCTCTAGGACATAATGTTATTCTGAAATGACAAAATAATTGATTTAATTGGTCGATCTGGAAGTACAAAATATTGTATCCCAAAGTTGTTCATCAAGAATTTTTCATATAAGGTTTAACTTTGTCCATTATATCTTCATTTTAAATGTGAAAATAATAAGAGTATTCTTCTAATTTGAAATTCATCACTTGATAGTTACATCTGTAAGTCATTAAGATCGTCACCTTGATCTTCAGATCCTCTAGTGTTATAATAACCACCGAAACATTTCTCCAGATCTCCATCAGATCTTTGTAAGATCCTTTGTCTGCGTATCTTCAAGATCATTATAAGATTTATTGTTAAAATATTTGTTCACATTGAAACATTCATCCAGTTCATCTGATCGATCAAAACATTCGTTTTAGTCTTATTCATCAGTATTTTAATTTTTCTTTGGTTTACTTTGATTCATTATTTGTTTCTTCATTATTTACCTGATTAAATCCAAAGATTCTTGGTTAAGAACCTATTTTTCGATTGTTTCAATTTTTAAAATTAACAAATTCAAAGATTTGGTAATAAAATTATTGTAAAGAATCCAAATCTTATTTTTGAATCTGAGGATTTTACATCACTTCACTTCAAGAATCAGTATTACTGTTTTTAAAGCATACTTTACAATTTCTTGATAAGTTCATAAAAATTCTATCTCTTACGCAGCTATAATTGATTCAAAAATAATACTATAAATGTATCTAGAAATTATAGATTAATATTATTATTATCATAATTACGTATCGTTGTTATGATATGGAAATAAATAATATAGAAAATATATAAATTTGTCTAACATACACACTTGAGAATAATTTCAAATATTTGAGAAGAAAAATTTGGTTTAAGCATAAGTTTTCTTACTTTATTATTTATCAATTCATTCATGATCGATAACGTACGACAATTCGGTTGAGTGAAGGATTTCTTATTTGCGTCTTTATCGATTCAATAATAGATAGAATCTTTAATAATCACCCTAAAATACAGTAAAAAGAAAAATATAGATTTATTATTTGTTAGATTATATAATTGATATGTAATTAATATCTCTTTTAATTATAAAGAAAAATATTCCTTTGAATAACATATGTTTGAAATTAGCTATTTCTTCTGAAGGAATATAATCTTTCTCGTTGTACTTTATTCTTTTGTGCATTACTTTTGTGGCGTATAAAGCCCGATTTTAGTTTTGAGACTTTTACAAATCGCATATTAATATTTTTGTAAAATAGAAATACGAAAGGAATTGACTTAGTGCTCATGTTTACTATAGTAAAAAAATGTAAATTTACTTAGTTATATCGTAAAAAAAACTATGAAATATTTTTTTGCTTGCTTACGTAAATTATATGCTGACAATCAGATGTTGGAGCGATTGGTTTTAGGTTGTTTGACTATTATAACTAGGAAATGGGAACCGTTGTTACTATTACTAGAATAACCAGTTACTGTGAGTACGAATAACAGCTTATTGATTTTTATATTATTTTTTGCACAAAATCACGTGTGAACAGGTACCCAATCACATAGGTGTAAGTCAAATGTAATTTTTACAATTGGAGTTAAATCTTAAGCCAGAGAATAATTACAAAAAATTTTTCGCAACAACCAGAGAATGTGGATTTGGTTCTAGCGCAACTAAAAAATTTGTAAACTTGATTCAGAGCAATTAATCAACACGAGTGAATGCATCCTTTTGATGGCTGTTGTCTCAATGTCATCAGCTAGGTATGTAGGTGAGAGTGAAGGGTGAAATATGGAGGTGAGTGAAGGTGGTAAGGGTGATATGTGGAGGTAAGTGAAGGTGGTAAGGGGGGAAAGAAAGTACTTCCAGAAAAGATATTTCTATGTTTGTTGTAAAGTCATAACTAATTCCTTCTTCAGAATCAGTGTAGACCTTCAACATAGAGATTTCTTTCAAGGTTTCCTAAAGAGGTGATAGAGAGTGTGGAGGTGGAGATGAAGATAGAGGTATGGAATGTAGATGGAATGTAGGGGAGTGTAGATTGAGTGTAGGAGGAATGTAGGGGAGTGTAGGTATGTTGGTGAGGGTGAAGGGTGAAGGGTGAAGTGTAAAGATGAGTGAAGGTGGTAAGGGTGATGTGTGGAGGTGAGTGAAGGTGGTAAGGGGGGAAAGAAAGTACTCCCGGAAAAGATATTTCTATGTTTGTTGCAAAGGTCATAATTAATTCCTTCTTCAGAATCAGTGTAGACCTTCAACATGGAAACTTCTTTAAGGTTTCCTAAAGAGGTGAGCGGAAGTATGGAGTGTGGAGGTGGAGATGAAGGTAAGGTGTGGAGTGTAGGTGAGGGTGAAGTGTGGAGGTGAGTGAAGGTGGTAAGGGGGGAAAGAAAGTACTCCCAGAAAAGATATTTCTATGTTTGTTGCAAAGGTCATAACTAATTCCTTCTTCAGAATCAGTGTAGACCCTCAACATAGAAACTTCTCTTAAGGTTTCCTAAAGAGGTGAGGGAGTATGGGTGTGGAGGTGAGAGATGATGGTAGAGTGTGGAATGTAGATGGAGATGGAGGTGAAGTGTAGGTTGAATGTAGGTTAGGTGTGGAGGTGTAGAAGTGAAGGTGAGAGGAGTATGGAGGTAGAGAGGAAATGGAAGCGGAATGTGAGGCAGAGAAGAAAACTGTTTATCAAAATAATAACAAATCATTAGTGATAGAATATTTGAAATAAAATAATAGAAATAAATGTAATAGAAATGGAAAAAATACATAGCTTAATAGTTAGGCCACATGATATCCTTAATTCTCAAGTAATTTTTCGGGCTAAGTGTTGATTTTCATATTTCATCTTCAGTGATTTTGAGTTTAGCACTAAAATATAAATTCATTAATTTGTAAATCTTTTTTGTAGTATGTACATATACAATATAATTAAAAATAAGAATAAATTTTTATACTTACATTTCTTCTAGAATTAGAATCAATATATTCAACATTTTCACATCATCAAAATCATCAAAATATCCACCTTCATCATCTTCATCAGATTCATAATTTCTAAAGTATTTTATTATCTCCGTTAGCATTATCTCCAAAATTTTTTTTCAGATCTTTATCAGATTCTTTGTTAGATTCTTTCCCTGTACCAATATCATCACATCCATTGTGAACTTAAAGTATTTGCCAGCATCTTCTGATTTTTGTCTGATTTAATTTTTTTATTAGATTGTTATTAATATTCGAATTATTAATTGGGTAAAGACGCTTAAATAAATTTTTGCCGTTAACTGTTCATTAATGACTTAACAAATAAATATGACTTTGTATCGCGATTGCTTAAATCAGCAAATCAATGAAACGACCACCAATTATAAAGTGATTGCAAATTATGCTATAGTTTGAAAGATTCACCGATTAAAAGAAAAATAAAGAACAATTATGGTTATTAAATCATGTAAAGATAGATACCGCACCGCCAAATCTTTCATAGTAAGTTTGGATCTCAATCTTCCGTTCGGATTTAACAAAATATCGAGCAAAAGTGTTTCAAAATTCCAACTTTCTTATCTACATTTAGTTGAGCATCTTGAATAAATTTATCGATTGTATCATTTCCACTCGTCCCTTTATCAAAATTATTTTTTCAAACGTGACGAGTTGCACATTCTTCGATTCCATTCTGGACATAGATCATATGTCTTTTTTTTTATTCACTTACATTCTGTATAAGTTGATTTAAAACTATATCTGAATTTTCGTTCATTAATTAATAGTCAAATTGAAAATTCAATTAAATGATAATTCTTAAAAACAAATTCATTTATCATAAAATCACGATGCGATATAATTGAATTATGATTTTGATGTTATATGTGATTCTGTATTAAAAATTGGGTACCTGTCAGCTACTATTTTAATTATAAAAAATAGTACCCAGGTCACACGGCGAGGACGTCGATACCCTTTGTGACCCAGAAAGAGAAAAAAAAAAAGACTATCCTAAAAGAAAAGAAAAAAAAAAGAAATGAAAAGAAAGAAAAATAAAAAAATTATTTTATAATATATATATTTTTTTTTTGTTTTTTTTTGATATTTTATATTTTTTTTTTATTTTTTTTTATATTTTTTAATTTTATATTTTTATATAACGATTTAAATTTATACTCACCTAATACTCCATAGGCAATTCCAAGTAAGATAATAAACATATAAATATTTCAAAATTTAAATCATAAAATAATAATAAAAAAAAGTTGAAAATTTAAAATAAAAAAAAACAAAACAAATAAAGGATACAATATAAAATTCTTATATGCAGCCCTCCGAAGAAAAATAATAATTGAGAGGCTCTAGCCACCATCCAAGACTAGAGTACTCTCACCAAATACCACCTGCCAAACTTAGAGTCTAAAGGCACTTTCTCTAAGCAAGACAGGCAGTCCATTAATTGACATGGATGGTAATTCTGCATATAAGTTGGCCACTTGGGCCTGAATAGAATTACCGGATTGCCTAGGAGTCAATCCATTCCAATTTATCCTGATATTTAGTTGTTGTTGTTGCTGTGGTGGTGTTGGCGTAGGTCTTCTTCTTCTTCTTCTTCTATCAGGAAGAGGGCGGATAGCGGCAGGTGCAAAAGGGCTAACGTCTTCTACTTGGAGGCCTAATCTTCTTGCAGTTGCTCTTGTAATCGGTGCCATTTTCAAAATTAAGAAACTATATCTAAGGGGATAACAAAAAATTTTTTTTGATAATAATAAGAGAGAAATTATAAAACACTTGAAATGGCAAGAAAAAGTGTAAGGGGAATAAAAAGGTATAGGTACCCTTTTTATAATTTTTTGTTGTTTATTTGTATATTACTAATAAAAATAAACAAGTATCATTTTATTTATTTTTTTATTTTATTTATCTTGTTTATTTGTTTTATATTTTTTTTTTGAAAACAAATACGATCGCGATTTTCGCGTTGAATTAATCATGTGATCGCATTAGCAATATCGCGTCGTGTAACATATTTTTCATAAGATCAGCTGTGAAACATATGCATTAACATTTAACGTTTGTGTAAGGATAATCAAAAAATATGCAAAATACTCGTTAACCAATCCACAACCTTAGATTACGGAAGGGTCTTTTAACAATTTTTATTATTCGGTGACGAATTTTGAATCTGATATAGGTTTTGAAAGTAATTTGAATGATTAAGTGTTGTTTGAAGAGGAAGAGGGGTGGTGAGAAGTCATGAACTGACTTTAATTTGATACCATTTTATTTGAGCAATTTTACGTAATACAAGAATCGCGACAAGTTTTTAATCATGCGAAATAAGATATTTCGGTGATTCTTGAAGGTAAAAAATAATATGTGACAAATTAACGTAAGGAAAGTCTAAATTATGAACAAGCATATTAAATTAGAATCTCAATAATAAAATACTAATATATCCGTTGTTAAGTTTACAACTTCAGGACAACTGTTAGGTGGTAAAATAAGTAAATGTAAGGAGATATTAGAGCTATAGATTTAACTTTGAAAGAAAAGTACAACTCACGTCAACAAGCAACTCCAAATACAATTTAAAAAACATAACTAAAAGCTTTGGACAAAGCTTGAAAATATACCAAAAAAAGGTAATAACAGCTAAGTCAAGGTGAGTATTTGTTTACGACCATGAGTATCGGATAGAACTCACCCAAAATAAAACCCCAAATGTCATTTCAATAAATACTGAACTGGATAATATTACTTCAATAATCTTTTCATTAGAGTTATAATGTACTTTAAATATATTTTTTATAATAAAAAAAAGAAATTTTGAACCAATTTTCACTTTTCTTTACTAATCCGGATCAACTATGCAATAAATTATACACTAATTATTAATTAGGGAACATAAGATATTTATTTTCTTCATAACATTAATCCTTGGAAAAATTTCTGTAACACCTGTACACATAAAAAATAAAAGTAAAAATTTAATCTAATTAATGCTAATTAACATTGATGTCTTATCGAGTTAATTTACCTGAAGCCACATCTTTGAGTAAATTTTATATTATAGAATACTACATATTATATAGATTTAGCGTGCATTATCCGAAAGCCACATAAATAACCAACAATCGTTATTGAAATTTCCCATTCCTATCTTTGCAATGCAATGATTGCGTCAAGTGCTGCTGCTAATTGTTTTCTAACGGTATGATCAGGAAGTAATATTGATTGATCTGATGAATTATATTATCTTCTTCTGGTCCAACAACTATTTCGGTTTGGTCAAAAAATAATGATGCTCGTTCATCATCACTAGAATCTGTTGTGTTATGATCTTTTATTTATATATATATATCAATAAGCAGAACATTTAATATTCTCATGTGACAACTGTTTCTTACATCTATATTATATGTAGTGTCAAATATTAGAGACAAAAAGCTCGGGACAAGAAACTACACAATTAAGGTACGCTATTTGGTTGCATTTGCAATGAATCAATTAACATAAATTCTCAGTGATTTTTAATAAGTTAATGTTGTTGCTAATTTATGCATTTCTCGTATAATTGACGTCTATTTTTATTTTATTCAGATATTGATGATTGGGACAAATGAAACCAGATCATGAAGTTAATCGATTGCGTATAGAAACAATAGATAGATTTGATTCTTGTTACAATCAATAAAGCAAATCATCCATGCTCCTCCTTTTTCTTGACGATAATTGAATATTCTTTTTTTTTTTTTTTTTAACAAATTAGACTTTATTTTGCAAGTACTTTGTTCCTAGATGAACAACGATAACTTCATTAAAGCTTATAAAATATAATTAATTACTTCTTTTTCCTATGATAAAATTCGTGCAATATTGGTAATGGTTTTTTCTCCTCTGAAATTGAGGCTTCTCCAAAACCGGTGTACACCGGGAGAACTAATAAATTTGTCAAAATCGCCGAACAGTCGCAGCTTGTCATCCTTAGATTCAATAATTTCCAATTCTTTGAACTGCACTTTTTCTGCCTCTTCCTTTTGAGAGAGAATATAATTCAGCCTTTTTTGAAAAATCTAATGGCATTGACGTATCCAGAAGGTAAAACTTCAAATAATTTACATAATCCTGCGGATAAATAACGTAATAGAAATGATGTAATATATCAATATCACGAACTATCATCAACTGTGAACTATAATACAAACCATAATATTGACTTTACAGTAAAACTCTAAAAGAACTAAGGATCTTAAAAAGCATTAGTAAAAGCCAAAGACAAGACCTTCATATTTTTTTCAAATTTTTAAACCCGACCGAAACCTTCTTTGGATCGACACATTAAAGCTATGCGCGAAGACAAAACCGGAGGCAGAACGTATCTTCAGAACCTTATGCTTCTTTCAAAAATCGTTATCAACCATTTTGAAGATAAAACCAGAGACAGAGCGTATCCCCCGGACACACAATGGAATTGATTGGAGGTTTGTAAGTCAGTAAAAAAATATAACACGTTTGATTATTCCAAAAAATTTGCGTGTTTTAAAACTGACACGATCAGACTTGCATGTAAAGGTATCATTTTTGACACCTATGGTTATTCTATATTTAACAAAAAATGAAAATTAAATATAGATATAATACATAAATACCTTTCATAACTTTTCCATGACGTCGTTTCTTTTTTTATCAATCAAATATCTTCCATTCAAAAGTCTAGTTTTAGATTTCTTTAAATTTTTCCAATTGTTAAATAATTTTGACTTTTTTTCATTTAAATTTGGCTACTTCCATTCGTTTCTTTGCAGGATCATTCATTCTTTTTATAATAATTATTATTTTGTTGTTATTATTAATATATTGTCGTTATTGTGTTGTGATGATTTTTATTAATTTATTATTTTTATTATTTTTATTATTTTTATTATTTTTATTATTTTTATTATTACTAAAGAATCAACTAGAATTCTGGTAAATCAATGAAATAAAACCGATAAGAAAAAGAGATAATAACATTTCAAATTTAATTGGAATGCTAAATGTATATACTTTACTATTTTGCGTATTTTGCTTTTTGTATTCTACCTTAATTGAATATTTATAATTACCTGTAACTATTAAATTGAATAATTAATCTCGTAATTTTCATAATATATTAAGGATTATTAGAATAAAAACCAATAGTAAATTACACTAATTATGATTTATTTTTAGCATATTTTTTATATATTTAAGAAATGAGATTTACCTTCCCAAACTACAATGAACGAAATTCTGATCCAATCTTTAAATAACAAAATAAGAATAAAAAATAAATAAAAAAAAATCTACACAATATTTATAAAATAAAATAAAGAATCTTCGCAAGAAAAAAATTAATATTTTAAATTAATAATTTTTTTTTAGTTTGCATCATCATCAAGAAGTTCAATAAATTTTAGGATAATTTATCAAAAAATGTAAACATTTTTTGATTAGGAAAACAATGTCGAGTATATGAAACTTAAAATACGTACCACTCCTTTTGATCTTTTAAATTATTTAAAAATTATCTCAGAACTTCTTAACATTGAAATTAAGAATGAGAAATCCTTTACAGCACTCTCAAATATAGTGAACTTAATTTCATAAAGAATTAGAAAATATAGCGCGGCATTAATTAAAAATTTATCTCACATAATATAAGAAACTTTTTTTTTTTTATTAATTGTTCTAATTTTAATTTTTGTTAAAGAATAAAAATTAATTTACGAAATTATATTTGAATTCATATTTTGATTTTTTTAAGGAGACAATATATTATATATTTTTTAAAAGATAAAATTGAAATTACTAAAGTGGAAACAAAACCAGAGATAAGAAATTTTTAGAATATTCAGTTTTCAAAAATTCATTGATTTTAAATACCGATCAATAAGTAAAATAAATAAGAACATAATGGTTTTTTTGTTAATTTAAAATAATGTATGTTGTGTTGTTGAATGAAATATATATTTGAGACATAAGTAATATCGATGGCCGAACTAAAACGATAGAGAGAGAAATAAAATAAAATGAATAAAAATATTCCAAATTATAATGATTTTGACAAAACAAATTAATGTCGTTAGATTACAGGCGTTGATTTATTAAAAATTCAAATAGCAAATATACGTAAATCATAGCTTTTTCTTTTTTTTTTTTAGCGTTAACTCTTGGTTTTTTCTTCCGTCCATTAAGGTTTCGTTATCTGCGCTTAAAGCATCATATAGGGTTATATATTGTCAGAATTTGAACATGATATTTGAAGTTGAACACATTTAAGACAGGGCAGCTTACTAGTAGAAGAAGAGGAATGTACATTGGTAATTAGAAGATCATATGGCTTACCGTTAAATGCTGCGTTTTTGAGCTGACCGAGAGTAACACCTTTGCAATGATGGGCTTCGTTAAGCGTTGATACCCATGGCCTTTTCCTGTTATTTTATTAATATCCGTGGATTCTTTAGGGTTTTTAGACTTCACACGTTCAACTAGATATTGACTGCCATCATAAATGTTCCAGAATGGTTGGCAACAATTAGGGCCTTTAGACTTGCGTCGCCTCCGTGATCAATATACTTCTGAAAAAATACCGATCGTGATTGTCTGAAAGAGAAAGGAAAGGTTATCAAAAATATTTTCTCGAACTTTGTCTATGTGCCTTTTTAGGGTTCTTATGTCATGATAATTATTGAATTAGTCATAATACTTACTTAATTCAGCCCTCTTGCCTGAACATATACATCATCTTTTTTCTTGAATATTTCAAAAAGAAAATTTGTAATTCCTTATAATGACCGAACATCGTTAAATGAAAACAAAAATTTCTTGGGTCCAATTTTGGGTGGCATACAAGGTTGGGCCGGGTGGATTAGGTTTTTGCTCGCTTTTCTTTATTTTTATGTAAGTATTTAATTATTATTTTTTTTTTTTTGTTTTTTATTGCATTATTGCCTAGTACTGAACTGAGCATCCTTCTTTTTATAGATTCTTTTTTTTTCTTATTTTTTAAGGTTGTTCACTGGTTTCAATTTTCTTGAGTCCAATCTTGGGTGACATACAAGGTTGGACCAGGTGGATTGAGTTTTTGGCTGGTGGATCGCTTTTCTTTATTCTTAGGTAAGTATTTTATTTTTATTCTTATTTTTTTTTTTATTTTTTGTATAATGCTTAGTACTGAACCGAGCTTTCTTTCATTTTCTAGATTTCCTTTTTTTTTTTATTTTAGTTCGCCGATTTCGATTTCTTTTTGGTTCAATCTTGGACGGCATACAAGGTTGGACAATGTGGATTGGGATTTCAGCTGGTGGATCGCTTTCTTTATTTTTAGGTAAACATTTTATATTTTTATTATTTATTTTTTATGATGCTTGATACTGAACTGATCTTTTTTTTCTTTTTATTGATTTCTTTTTTTTTCTTTATTTTTTATTGATTTATTATTTTTTCCTTTGTTTTTTATTATTTTTAGTTTGCTGGTTATCGGAGTTTCACAAGTTATTACTTCCCACATTAAAATACCAATATCTGATTTTTTTGCATAAATTTGCCCACAATAAAACTTCAGATTCAACATATGGGAATCACTAATAAACCCTGTGAAGTATTAAATATTTCCTGAGTGCATTATATTTTGCTCATGAATTCTACAATAAACTGCTTGTTATATAATAAATAAATTTATAATTTTTTAATAATGTGTATGATAATTATCTCTTAAAAATATCTTAAATCATTATCATAACATGCAAAAGCAACATAAAATCATCGGTGCTTGGATCTTTAGTTAATCCAAAATGATTGAAAGGTAATCAATATTTCTGAAAATTAGCAAATGTATAATTGTAATTAAACTTACTTCTTGCTAAATATTTAAGAATAAAAAATTCACAGTATTGAGTCAATTTCGCATTGCTGTTTTTCTACTTGATGATCACCAATTCTTAATTTATCATCATATTTTTTAGATATCCTTCTTGCTGCGTGATTGTTTTACGAATATTGAAGTCTAAAGATATGTACGCCAAACACTGTTTAATTTATCACTCTTGAGTAGCCATTTCCTATTTCTTTCTTTTAATATAATTTATTGTTTAATAATTTAATTGTAAATAAAAATATAATGTAAAATTACCGTGGGTTGAGTTTTGATTATACGCAGAAATTTAAGAATATATTAAGAAAATAAAATTTATCGAACGAGCAGAGTATTACGTTAGTTTTTTATTAATGTAATTTACAAATCGAAGTAAATAACTGAACGTGACGACGACGCATAAGAAAATAGTTGAAAAAGATTTCAAATTTACAATTATGATATTTTAATCGCGGGTAGATAATATAAAATATTTAATAACGTTCAATTTTGAAAACGGCGAATGATTAATGTGTTGATAGCCTTTTGTTGTTATGTTGTTGTCATATTGTTGTCATATTGCTGTCATATTTTTGTCATAGATTTTTTTACTTTCACGTAACAATGTAAAATACTAGACTACGTATCTAGATTATCTAATATTATAAAAAAAGTCAAAAATATATGATTTATGTCATTTGATATGGAGATATGACCTTTTTGACTTTTTTGAATATTAGTCAGTTCTGATTATAGTCTATTTGATTTGATTTTGAAAATATAATTAAATAACAGCGAATAATATTATTATTGTTGTTTTTTTTTTTCAATGAAATTTTTTTTGAAGAAACGAAAAAGAAAAATGCTGTAAGAATGTTTATTAAGAATGTTTATCAAGAATGTTTATTATTACATTATTATTATTATTATATTATCCAAAAGTAATCAAACAAATATTATTATTTAATAGTATCTGTGCTCGATCCAATTGTCGAAAACCAGTTTATATAGAATCGGATGGATATACACATCCATATTGTGGTAAAACTTGTGCATCAGTAGCCATATCTGTAGCAATCAATACTATAGGAAAATGTTCCTATAGTTTTTGTCGTCGGCCAAGATATATGGATGCTGATGGAAAAATTTTTGATTATTGTGGAAGAACTTGTGCGAATAGATTAGAAAAAGGAGACGAAAACCAATGTCAACAGTCACTCTGTGAAAATGAAAAAGTCAATAATAATAATGAAGATGTTAGTGGAGAAAAAAATTTAAATGGAATTAAATGTTCTCGAACTGATTGTTCACGAGAAAGATTTATTGATCTCATCGAACCTACAAAATATTATTCATTTTGTAATCGCGAATGTTATTGGACGGAAATTAATGAATTAACCACAACCAAAATCACGTTAATTTCTAAAATGGATTTAGATTATATTCAAATTTCTGATAATTTTCTGAAAGTATTACCTAATATTAAAATTCAAGGAATTTTAAGATTACAAATGCCTAAAAAAATTGGGGAAGCTCATTTAAATTTACGTAAAAAGGAGAAAATTGTTTATCAAATGTATCACGGAACTTCTGCAAATTGTGATCTTAAAAGATTAATTAAATATCAAAGACCTCAATGTAATCTTCCTATTAGTACTACTGTTGCTACTGGTGGTTGTAATTTATTCGGGGGAGGAGTAGAGAGAGTAGGAAAAGCGTGTGGAGTATGTGGAATTATTCGAGAAGGAAATTCCACCAAACATTCTAAACATAATGGACAAATGTGGTTCGCAAGACAACCATCAATTTCTATGGGTTATACAAGTGGTGAATACAGAGCGATATTTTGTGTGGATGTGGTAACAGGTGATAATAGTGATTACGCAACTATTAATTCTAATGCTGTGAGTATTCAATAATTCAATTTTAATATTTTAATATTTATCTAATATTTTAATTCTTAATATTTATCTAATATTTTAATTCTAATATTTATTTTAATTCAATTTTTTTATATATATTTAATATACAGGCTAGTCTAGCACGATTTTTGGTCATTTTCAAATAATAATTATTACTCCGTAATTGCATGTTTATAATTACTTGAATTTATTAGAAATATTGATGCCATTATGTTTATAGTAATTATAAAATGCAAGATTGTTTTGTTTTTGAATTGAAATATTATTTTATCTATTAATTGAATTCTTATTATATTATAATAATTTATTATTTGAATTGATTATAATATGTATTTCTCTGCTCTGTTATTGTGTCAAATTTCTTATTTTCTTTAAGGAAATATTTTAAAGATTATAGTCTAATAATAAAGAAATTTCGTGGCTTTTTACACACAATGCACAAATAATGAGCAAATAATGAATAAATGAGAAACAAATAACGACACAAAAAAATGAAAATTTTTACATAGTTTGAAGCGAAAAATCTCTATTTTTTATTTTTCCCGTATTTCAGATATTCAAAATTAAATTCATACGTGACCAAATTTAGAAAAAAAATATATAAAAAGGTGGGAACGTGAAAAAAGTTGAAAACAAAAAAGAATGACAGAGATATCTATCTGTGAAATAATTTTTCTTTTATTAATAAAAACTTTTATCGACTCGTTGATAATTATAATCAAATCATTATATTATTGTCAATGATTTTTATACAATTTTCATGGTACTATATTTATGTTAATGCCGCTTGCTTTATGCTTTTTAATAAGATTAAAGTTTTGGATTTATGTAATAAATTCGAATAATAATACTCCAAAAATATCTTAGAATTCTATAATTCCTATTCATATTTCCTTTACCTGAAATGGTAAAATAAATTATTATATTTTCGTAATTTTTTTTTTAATTTTTAATTGGAAGTATTGATGAATGATAGTTGTTATTTTATAATATTTACTCCGCTATTGATTTTCTAATTATTTGTTTTTATTTTTATTTCACTATTGATTAAATGATAGAAAATACTAATACATATAAATAAAGATATATAAATAACACAATTTGTTATAATGAATGATGAGGAGAGATGTTTACCTAGGAACGATTTTTCATTACGTAAGATGTTGCGATCGCTGGTATCAAAAACAACCTCAAGTTCACAGTATTCATTCAACAAGTGGGCATTTCCAAAAGTTTGCCGATTTTATGGACTCCGAATCAGAAGATTTGTGTGATAATTATGACAAAGGTATGATAATGGTGAATGTGGTCTTGCGATTTTTCTTCTATAAAAATGATTTAACTTCCATTATTATTATTATTGCAAAATTAAAGTTTAATTTTACTCGTTTTTTGAATTTTTGAAAATTAATCAAGATAAAAAAATATTTTTATGATAGAAAAAATTGAAAAAGAAAAATTTAATTTATCATTCGAACAATTCGACCATTTACCCAGTGAATACATTCTTTCTTCACATTGTATGTCCTTGATTCATATGAAGGTATTTAAATATTTTAAATTTCGTAAAATATGATTCATAAATTCAACCTATCCATCATCTTTTAATCTCTGAAAATAAATCATCCCATTTTGATTTATTAAATGATCATTATGAACGAAATCAAATGATGATTAAGTAAATGGTAAACCTTCTAATATATTGTGACGAATGAAACTTGCATTATGTGTAGTTAAAGACATACGAAAAGAAATTTTTTTTTTTTTTTTTTTTTTTTTTTTTACATAAAATATCTTATAATCAATATATAATATAAAATAAAATCTAATTAAATAATAAGTCGTCGGGGTTTACTAAAATTTAATTATTGAAAATATTTTCATTCATAAATTAATAAATATGCTTACTCTCTGCTTTTTCGATTGTAAAAAAAAAATAATTCGACTTTTCTTTATTAAAAATTTTATTGTTTTATTGAATTTATATTATCAAAGAATTATAATAAAAAATGAGAAACTGTACAAGATCCAATACATTATCAACAAGTAGTAATATTAATACAAGAAATACTCAAGACCGTAAAGAAGAAAAGGGTAAATCATCGATATTATTATTATTATTATTATTATTATTATTATTATTATTACTTTATTGTTATTTTCTTTGATATCCTATATGAAAATTAAATTAGACGACGAACAAATTGCTTTTCGTGAAAGCGTACAAAAAAAATTAAAGGAAATGGAAGAAGATTTTCAACGAAGACAAAATGAGTAAGTGTTTTTGTATTTATAAATAAAGAATAAACAACAATACCAATGATGATTAATATAAATATAATATGTTAATTTTATTGCGTCATTTATTTTTCTTTTTGTTTAGAACGTATGAAGAAAGATTAAACCAACTTAATCAAGATATTATTAATGTTCGACAAGGTTCCCAACTCGGCTTCCTTATCATTCCTATTTGATATTATTTCATTTTTTATTTGACATTAATTCAATTCTCCCTTATTTTTTAATTTTCAGGATCGAGTCCTATTTTTAAAGAAGAACTTCAAAAATTTATTAATAAACATGATGAAGAACTTGAGGAAGCTCAAATGAAAAGAGATTATTACTTAAAATGTATTCAAAAAGAATATGAAGAAGAAATTCAAATTGTGGAAAATTATTACTCGGTACTGTATATTTATAATACATAACTGCAATATTGCTTACAATAAATTGTTACAATATATTACTCAAAATATTACTTACAATATATTTCTTAAAATATATATATAAAAGAGAAAGAAAAAGGAAATTGATGATGCTCTCGTAGGAGATATCGAAGCAAGAAAAAAATTGCTTTTTGAAGATATCAAGACTTATGATCAAATTAATGGTAATTTATTTTCTTTTTTTTGATTATTTTAACACAATAAAATTATAATCATATATCATATCATCGATTATTATTATAGTCCAAGATGGTGAATTGAAAGGACATGTTTATGCAATTCCTGTAAGAATTTTACGAAGTAAAACGAAAATGACTTTGAATTCTGATACGCAAGAAAAAAATAACAAATCTAAAAGGTGTCGATAAATATATCTATCGATCGATCGATATCTTTATTCTCTACTTTCTTTATCCGTTGTTAAATTATTTTAATTTTTTTTAACTTTGTTTGTATAATATAACTAACAATCTACAATCTACATTTCTTTTATTTATGTCATTGTATAGATTACCTGAACGTCCTTTTGTATCGGAAAAATTAAATGATCACGAGGTTGAAAGAGATCTCGCAAAAATATATATGGTCAGTTAACTTTATATTTTGTTATATTGTAATCATAAGTATGTTTATATTTATATTATGTTATTATTATTATTATTATTATTATTATTATTATAATTTATTAGTAAATTATTTTGTTTTATTTATTATAATATATTTTATTATCATATTTTATTAGGGAACTAGTAGAGTAGATACTCTAAGATCAAAAAATAAGAATCGTGTTAACATAAAATAATGTCGAGTGCTATTGCGACTGTGCTTTTTTTTTTAATATCTACATCATTTCATCTGTCTAGCTTATCTAAATTTCTATATACAATATATTTTTTCGAAACAAAAAACAACTGATGGTCACATGATAAACAAACAAATCGTTATTATTTTTATCCTATTGTTTACGGTGGTCTGTCCTGATTAACCAAAAAGAAAATTATTATTTGAGTTTTTAATTACTGTGTACATATATAAATGTGCATATTTTTGGTTAAGAAAATAATATAGATTTTTAAGTATTATGTTGTTATAGTACATTTACATTAAATGAAAAATCAAATATATTTTTTTAAAAGTATAAATAAATAATTTGATAATAAAAAAATATGAAATATGAAAATAAGTTTAATAATAATAAAAAACAAATCAATTTTCTTTAATCGAATTCGAATGACCAGCGATCCCACATTCTTCATCAGCTAAAATAAATAAATTTTTAAATAATATAATGACGTAATACAAAAGGGTGAAATAAGGAATATTTACCACACGATTTATTGAAATTATTTGATCCATTTCTATAATTGCGTCATAAAAATAAATGAATTAATTAAATTTCATAAATAACTATAATTTATTATTAAACAAATAAAAATATTTTTACCTTCAGAAATTTCAAAATCAAATTGACCATTATCAAATGCTGATATTATTTTAATGTGAATTAAAATAGAGATTTCATTAAACATATAGATTGAATGGATTACCTTGTTGTTCTTCTATAAAGATGAAAAAATTAATAATAAAAAAATAATTAATAAATAAAATCAATAAAAAAAAGATAAAATTTGAAAATATTACCATCAGTGGCATTCTTAGGCTGAATAGAAAAATTGAATGTATATACTTTGCAGGTTTGGATTTTATAAATTTTGCTTCTTTTGTTTTCGTTGGATTGAGTATCTTTAATTACTTGCTTATCCATATTTTTTGTGGAACTTGATTTAAAGAAATTTTTTCAAATTTTTAGATTGAATAGATGGCACTTGTTGTGTTGTTTATTTATTTTTTCATATAATGGCTTCATTAATAATCCCATTTTATTGAATATTATAATTGCATCAGGTCTATTATCAGGATTAGCATCCCAACATTGTTTCATTAAAGTTACATATTTCAGTGAAATGTTTTGGTCGATATCCTGAGGCTATAGCAAAAGTTAAATCTGAATCATGTTCATGGTCACCGTAAGGAGTTTTCCCAGTTATTACTTCCCACATCAAAATGTCTGTACTATATATATCTGATTTTATTGTATAAATTTGTCCACAATAAACTTCAGGTGCAACATATGGGAGATTCCCATATATACTATTTAATGGTTTGTCAACTGGCCCACTCAATCCTAAATCACTAATATACACTCTGAAGTATATGCATTATATTTTTGCTATGAATTTTATTTAAGCAATGTAATATCCCATTAATAATATTATGTAAGTGTATGATAATTATCTTTTATGAAATGTCTTAAATCATTATCATAATAATGCAAAACCAACATAGGTGCTTGGATCTTTAGTTAATCCACGACATATGGTAAGTGATTGAAAAGTGTTTTCAAGTGTAAAACTTAAAGCTACCTAATAATCATGTTTAATTATTTAATTATATAATTAATATTCTGAAAATTAAACAGAAATTAACAAATATAATAATAATAATTAAACTTACTTCTTGAAACCAATGTATATTATTGCTATTTGAATCATTTAATCTTTTAAGAATATCGATCGTCTTCCAAATCTTTCTAATATTTGTTTTTTTGAATTCCATTTATAATAGCTTCCAACTTTCCATATTGCTGTATAAATAGTAGCACATCCTCCCTCTGATATTCTCAAATTGATCATAATTAATCCATTCAATGACATCTTCGGGTGAAACAGTTTTTTGTTGACCATTTCCTATTTCGTTAAAATTTAATATAATTCAAATGAATAAAAGAATAAATACATATCAATATGTAATTTATTTTTTTAATAATTTAATTGTCAAATAAAAATATAATATAACCCTGGGTTTGGTTTTAATTATTTACTAGTTATTTTGTACAAATTTAATAGTCAAGTATAATTTGTGGTGAAACGTGAATATAATAGCAAAGAGTAAGATTAAAATATTTATTTTTATTCAGATAAATTAAATAAATTCCGATTTTTAGATGCAGAAATATTTTGGATGATAATATTTTTAATTTCACAAATTTAACATTGATTTTTTTTTTTTAGAAAAAAAAATATTTAGATTATCCATATGTGATTATTGCGAACATACTTGTGCTGAAAAATTTAAAGAATCCGTTTCGATTTTTTATAAATTATAAATGTACATTAAAATGAAAAAAAAATAAATATATTTTTTTTGTTTACATCTTTTTTTTTCCTTCTCAAATTTCAAGGTTAAAGAAAAAAATTTTTTATATTATTAAACTTTGTATTTTATTATTTTCACTGCAGTCCCACATTCTTCATCGGCTAAAATAAATTATCCGTTTTCAATACTTTTAAGATACTTCATAAAATAAATTAAATTTTACCTTTAGAAATTTCAAAATCAAATTGACCAAAATCAAATGCTGAACGTGAAAACATATATATTATTTTAATAATAATTAAAATAGAGATTTCATTAAACATATAGACATAGATTACCTTGTTGCTCTTCTATAAGATAAAAAAAAAATTAATACTTCATTTCTAAATGTCCAATTTCTAAAATTATTTTCTAAATATTTACGAATACAAAATTCACAATATTGGATTGCTTGATGCCATTTCTGACCCTTGTTGCATTGCCGTTTTTCTACTGAATTATTAACAATTTTATATTTATCGTATGTTTTGTGCATTTCATTAAGTAAAAATTTCTTTTCATTTCTGTGAGAGATAAATCATTTTCAATCATATTTTTTATATATCTTTCTTGCCGAGTAACTGTTTTATGAATATTATAATCAAAAGGTAAAAATTTTTTATCCAAAACACTGTTTAATTTATCATTCCAAACAATTTTTTGAGTAGCCATTTCCTATTTCTTTCTTTTAAATTTAATATAATTTACGTAATATAGACTACCGTGGGTTGAGTTTTTAATTATTTACTAGTTATTTGTATGTATATGCGCAGAAAGTTAAAAAATAGAACAGAATATTACGTTACGTGATTTATTTCAAAATTTACAATTATAACTATATGTCAATTATAGGTTAAAATTTGAAAATAATTAAAGTGCGTGCCATTTTGTAACGAGTAATAATTGTATCAGAATTTGTTATTAGCTTTAAATATAACAATGACACGAATATAAAAAACCATTTTAGAACGAGTCAGATTTTTGCGGAATAGTAGTAATTTACAACTCATGTCATGTTAGTTGTCATATAGTTGTCATAGTTTTTTACTTTTACGTAATACAAGACTATCTAGATTACGAAAAGTCATTTGATATGGTGATGCACCTTTTGACTTTGCTTGAGTATTGATAATATAGTAAGTCTAATAATTTTTTTGATCTTGAGAATATTATTATATAAAGAGAAAATGTTATTGTTATTGTTTTAGTAATAGTCAGTCTGGCTATGTTGATCTGATAATACTACTTAAATAAAAAGCGAACAATGTTATTGTTATTTTCTCTTTTTTCATGCTTTCTTTTTTTTCTCTTGGTTAAAGCAACGAAAGGAAAAAAAATGAGGTAAATAATATTTATTATTAACAACAAGTAACAAATATAAAATGAATATAAATAAACAATATTATTTAAAATAGTAGTAGTACTTGTGCTCGATCCAACTGTAATAAACCCGTGTATGTAGAATCTAATGGATTGGTACATCCATTTTGTGGGAAAACATGCGCAGCAGCAGAAAGATCGGCGGCAATCACTACTCTAGGAAAATGTTCCTCCAATTTTTGTTATCGTCCAAAATATAAGGAAACCAATGGAAATATTTATGATTATTGCGGAAGAACATGTGCGATTAAATCATCAATAATATCTTTGGAAAAAGAAGACCAACCGAAACAAAGTATATGTAAAGTGAAATGTGCTCGAAACGGATGTTCGCAAGAACGATACGCTGACCCTAACGAGCCAACAAAATTTTTTTCATTTTGTAATCGTAAATGTTATTGGGCGGAAATTAATTCATTATCCACCACCAAGATCACGGTAGTTTCAAATATGGATTTGGATTATAATCGAATTTCGGATAATTTCATGAAAGTATTACCTAATATTAAAATTCAAGGAATTTTACGACTTCAAATGCCAAAAAAAATTGGTGAAGCACATTTAGAATTACGCAAACAAAAGAAATTTGTTCATCAAATGTATCATGGGACGAAAGCAAATTGTAATATTAAAAATCTAATTAATAATCAAAACTTGCAATGTAATTTAATCGGAGGAACATGTGGAGTATGTGGAATTATTCAAGAAGGAAATTCCACCAAACATTCTAGATATAATGGACAAATGTGGTTCGCAAGACAACCATCAACTTCTATGGGTTATACAAGTGGTGAATACAGAGCTATCTTTTGCGTAGACATAGCAACAGATGATAATATTAATGATTACTTAATAATTAATTCGGATGCAGTAAGTATTTATTAATATTTTAAATTTATTTTAATTCAATTTTGTTAATATTATATATATTTATAATATATATTTAATATGCAGGCTAGTTTGGCAAGATTTTTAGTCATATTCAAATAATTACACATAATTGCATATTTTTTTTTTTACTTTTTTGTTCGTTTATTCCTTTTTTAGATAAGTGTAATTAAGTAATTACATGGATTTATACTTTGTATTAAGTAATTACATGGATTTATACTTTGTGTCGTAATTTTTACTATATTTATCAAATGTTGCTGTTTAAAAAAAATTTTTTTCTTGATTTTTGAAATATCATTTTTACCACGAAATATAAAATATGAATTGATCATCATCTATTATAATATTATATTTAATTGATTTATAAATCTACTTTACTCCCTGTTCTTCTGTTATTGTTTTGTGTTAAATTTCTTGTTTTTTTCAGGAAATATTTGAAAGAATCCCAGGCGCGGATGATTTTAGTCTAAAAAAAGAAATATTATTATAATAAAGAATTCTAATCTAATAAAGAAATTCGGGTCGTGGCTTTTTTTTTTTTTTTACACACGCAATACATAAAATATTGGCAAATGATTAAATAAATAATAAGACACAATTAAAAATAAAGTTAGAAAAAAAAAAAAAAACCGACACACACTCAGACAAAAGAAAACACAAAGATTTAATTTATGGGGTTGTTGTTTCATATTTTCTAACGCACATCAGATTTTAGAAACTTTAAAATTGAATTGAATTGTTATAAATAATTATATTACTAGCTCCTTATAGATTTACATTACACAAAGCGAATTTAAAAAATTAAGATAATCATTTTTTATTGTTCCAAGAAATACAAAAAAAGATTAAAATTTAAATTCATGCGTAACCAAATTTAGAAAAATTATATATAAAAAGGGTGAAAGAATTGGGAAATTAAAAAATTCCAAAAAAAAAAATATCAAATTATCAAATATTCTAAATATTCTAAAAAAAAAAAAACCAAAAAAAAAAAAAAACCAAAAAAAAAAAAAACCAAAATGACATCCAGTAGTACAGAGCAAACGTCAGCAGATTCATCTGTCTCTGCATTTACCAGTGCATTAATTTTCAATGGAGCAATTACTTTTGGATTATTTATTACATTTGATATTATAAGAAAACGAGTTAAAAAAGTATATGAACCAAGAAGTCATTTGCTTCCTCGAAGGTAATTTTTCTTTATTATATTTAAATTAGATTTATTATTATAATATAATTAAATTATCTTTATATAGTAAAGGATTCAAATCACCCCCTGGAGGATTTTTAAAATGGATTAGAGCAATTTTTAAAGTTAAATATGATGATGATGATGATGATGATGAAGAAGGAAGGCATAAAGATAAATTTAAAGATAAACATTTGAAAGATCAAATCTTAATATCAAAGATTGGATTGGAAGCATTTATGTTTCTTAGATTTATGAAAATGTTCACGATTATATTTATGATATTTACAATAATTGGAATTGGAATTCTTTTACCTATAAATTATATTGGTCAATTGGGTCAATCAGGATTGGATCAATTTACCATGGGAAATGTTTCCGATAAAAATAGATTATATTTTCATGTGGGTGCGGCTTATATTTTTACTGGTAATTATTCTTTTCATCTTTCTCAAATTCACATTTACATTTTATATATATATATATATATTTATTTATATTTATTTATATATAGGAATAATGTTATACATGATGTATCGTGAAACAAATATTTATATTAAATTTAAACATGCTTACTGTACAACACACGAATATCAAAAATCACCTCGTGCCACTACAATTTATGTTCCTGATATTCCTTCTCATTTAATTCATAATGAAGAAGAATTTAAAAAATTATATAATGCTTTTCCGGGTGGTGTTAAGAAAATATGGTTTAATAGGTAAAAATTATATTTATTTTGTGTTTAAGCCATTATTGTTGTTATAAATAAGTATATATATATATATATATATATATATTATATACCTATATTGACAGAATTATTTTATCGTTAGATATCCCAAAAAACTTATAGAAGCTCAAAGTGAAAGACAGAAAATAATAAATGGACTTGAGTTAGCCGAAACAGCATTTATTCGAAATTATGATAAACAATTCACCGAATCAAAAGAAATAAGGGATGAAGATTTAAAAAAATTTCGACCAATTAGTCGATCAAAACTTGGAATGAAACAAGATGCGATTGAATTTAATCGAAAAAGATTAATCAAATTTAATAATCGGGTAAAAGACTTAAAAGAAAAAGAAAAAAAAGAACATGAACAACGAAAACTAGAACAAAGTCATCAGCAAGCGAGTTTACTCGAAAGTTATGTATTTAAGAATGAATTAATATTTACCAATTTAAATTCGGCATTTATTCAATTTAAAAGTTTTATGGGAGCTCAATTAGCAGCAAATTCTACTGCCACCCGAATAACTGATATATCACCTGATGATATTATTTGGGAAAATTTAAATATTGCTTATTCACAACGATTAGTTAGAAAAGTAATAAGTATATCAATAACTACTGCTTTGATTTTACTTTGGTTAATTCTTGGTATTTATTATTTGTGATATTTATTTATTATATTTGTGATATTATATATGATATTTTATATATATTATTATTATTATTATTATTATTATTATTATTATTATTATTATTATTATTTATTTTTTTATTTTTTTATTATTAAATGGATGGCTAATTGTATTAATTAATTAACCATATAGTTACATTTGTCGCGGCTATCAGTAAACTTTCAGAATTAGGAAAAATAATTCCTTTCTTAGAACCAGCGATTGATAGCTTGCCTATAACTGTTTTGGGTATCATTGAAGGTATTTTACCTGCGCTTGCTTTAGCAATTTTAATGATTATTTTGTCCCTGTTTCTTAGAGGTATGTAGATTTCATTTATTGGATATTCTAAATTGAATCACTTTTAAATTGAATTAAAAAATTGTTAAATTGAATTAACTCAAATTAATATTGAATTTTATTTATTTATTTATTTATTTAGCACTATCAAAGTTTGAAGGAATTATAACATATTCAGGAGTAGAAATTAGTTTACAAAAAAAATATTATTTCTTTTTAATTATCAATGTCCTTTTGGTAACATCATTTGCTAATGGAGTATTTGAAGCCATATCCCCAATAATTGAAAACCCGCCTTCAATTGTAAATACTTTAGCCGAAAAGTTGCCTTTGGCTTCAACATTCTTTTTAACTTACGTATTACTCTCAATATCCGGTTCGGCTATAGAATTATTACAAATTGGTCCATTGGTAATGTATCTCGGATTTAAAAAATTCTTTAGTAATTCACCACGCGAAGTTTGGAGAAACGAAAAAGAATTGAAAATGAAAGATTGGGGAATTACTTTTCCTCCTCATATTTTAATGGCCGTTATTGGTATTTATATTTATTTAATATTTTTTATATTTATTTAATATTTTAAATATTTATTTAATATTATATATTTATTTATGTTTTAAATATTTATTTAATATTCTATATTTATTTATTTTATTTAGGACTGGTGTATTCATCAATTCAACCATTAATCCTTCCAATTGTCGCAATCTATTTTTTATTTTATTTTTTGGCATATAAATATAATTTCTTTTACGTTTATAATCAAATTTATGAAAATGGTGGATTATTATTTCCCTTAGGGCTTTTCCAATTTTCCTTAGGAATCTGTATTTATCAATTGTTGATGATTGGTTTAATGTTTCTTAATCAAGCTTTCATTCCTGGAGTATTGATGATCGTGTTATTGGGATTAACCATCACCTTTATAATTTTAAAAGAGAAATTTATTTTTAAAAGAAATCCTTATGCGAAATTTTTATCGGGTAAATATATTATTAGTGAACTTGATATTCCTGATAGTAGAATTTCTATTGGGGATACTTCCTCTTTTGAGGGTGGTGATTCTAGTGTTGGTGGTGTTGGTGGTGGTGGTGGTGGTGGTAGGGGAACTACTACAACTAAACGAAGAGACGGTAAATTTGTTATTAGTGAAATTGATTTTTCTGGTAGTAGAATTTCTATGGGGGATGGTGGTGATGGTGGTGGTGGTGATGATGGAACTACTGCAACTAAACGAAGAGAAGGAAGTGAAGAAGGAATTCAAGAGATAAAAAAAGGAGAAGCAATTTTTGAAACAGGTGATGATGATGAAGATAATTATTATGCACATCCAGCATTTTATGCTACACAATCTTCAGTTTGGTTGCCTCAAGATCCAGCAAGACTTAGTATAAAAGAAATTGAAGAATGTCAAAATCAAGGAATAAAAGCTACCAATCAAGGAGCGAGTTTAAAGAATAATAAAATTGTGGTGGATCTTAACGATGTACCTGTAGAGATAGAATTTGTGAAACATTATCATTTCGGTGAATATATTCGTCAAGATGATTATCTTCATTAGTTTTGTAATTTTGTCTTTAACGTTAGCGTTAGTGTTAATAGTTATGTTAATAGAATAATATCTAATAATAAACGTTCAAATCACATGAATTTGATCGTGACACAAGATCAATATATCTTATTTATTTATTTATTTATTTATTTATTTCATAAACGCGATGTTTTATTATCAGTTAGCTTTTCTTCTTATGTTATTGCACCCTTGTTCATTTTATGATCTAGTGTTAAAAATATCATAATAATAATAAAAATAATGAAATCCTATAAATCCAAATCTTCTAAAAATTATAAAACTTTTGAAGAAAGAATGTTAAATAATAATTTTGATTTACAAGAATTTCACGAAAGTAATAAAAATAATAACCATAAAATTAATAATTATGAAGTTTATAACGAAGAAGAATATTTTGAAGGAGAAGAAATTTTAGATTCACCTTCAAACATTTCAAATATTCAAGATTCTATTTACGAAAAAATTAACGCTCCAAGATATCGTGATTTCGAGAATGATGTAACTTTTGGTGAAGGGGATTCTTGGTTTGGTAAATAATTAAATAAATAATATTTATTAATCATTTTAATATAAATCAATATATAATTAATTATTATATTTTTAAAGATCAAGGAAACACCATCACTATTACCAATTTTCCCACTTTTTCATTTAATACTAAAAAAACAACGAATGCAACTTCAAACTGTTATAATTATAATTATAATAACAACAACAACAACAATAATAATAATTCTTCGACATTATTACCAAAGTCTCCGCTCCCACCATTACCAACACTACCATTACCACCGTCATCACCGTTAACAACTGTAATAGAAGAAAACTTAGAAGATAAAGCGACATTTATAAATACTTCATTATGCCTTCCGTCATCATTATTATCAACATCATCAAAATCAACATCAACAATTACGTCAACTAATAATTCAAATATTGTTTCAAATACCAATTCAAATAATAATAGGATTACATTGAATCCAGCAGTGACCTATGATACCTCATCATCATCATCGTCTTCGTCTCCTTCATTACATGAGACGTATAAGACGTTTAATAGAACAAATCTTTATGAACCAGCATTATCATCATCATCGTATCCTGTACCATTATTCTCGTCATCATCATCATCAGTATTTCATAATAATCATAATATTACTTATGATGAAGCAGTAGTAATATCACAAGATAAACAAGAAGAAGAGGACAAGGGAAAAGATGAGAAAAATGGTAGTAACATTAGAGAAGATAATTATAATATTATTACGACTAATATGACCACGACAACGACTACTGCGACGACCACTAAAGCAGCCGCTGCTAGGATCAAAGTCAATGATAATAATGGTAAGGATGATATAAATGATAAATATAATAAATTGGATAAATTGAATAAATTGGTTGATAAACAATTGGAAGAGATTAATAATAAATTGGATAAATTGAGTAAAGAGGTAGATAAACAACTGAATGATAATAAATTGGAAGTTAAGGTAGATGATAAAGGGGATCATGATAATAAAGTTGATGGTAAGATGGATTATAAGTTGGATGATAAAATGGATGATAAGGTGAATGATAAAACGGATGATAAAGTGAATTATAAAATGAATGATAAGGTAGATGATGATAAAGTTGATGATAAGGTGGATGATGATAAAGTTGATGATAAGATGGATGATAATAAATTAGAAGATAAAATAGATTCGACAAAATCGAAATCACAAAAGTTACTTGATACAAACATATTTCCAGAACCCAATCATCATTCATTAGTCCATCATAATAATAATATTAATAATATTAATAATATTAATTCTAGAAGTAATATTAGAAGTTATAGTAGAAATAATAGTAGACTTAATAAAGTCACAATTCCCGTTGAATTCAATTCTTTAAAGTCAAATCACCTTGACCGTCTTGATCACCTTGATCACATTGATCACATTGACCATCTTGATCATATTGTCCATATTGACGATCTACCCCCACAACGACTAGAAACTGGAAATAATAATATTATTAATGTTAATAATAATAATAAAAAAATTAATAATTATAATAAAAATAATAATTATAATAAAATCTATCCAGCTATTAGATCACAGCCAGGAATATCAAAGAATCGACGTCCACAACAACAATTTAGAAAAAAATTTCACTATAAAAAAGAGTTAACTGTACCTAAACCTTTTAAATTTCATACAACTTCACGTCAACGTAAACAGGAAAATAATATTGAAAGTAATTATAATAATAGAAATGTAAATAGAAATGTTAATAAAAATGTCAATAGAATTATAAATAGAAATATCAATAGAAATGGAAGACGTTCAACGAAATCACCATTTATTCCTATGGCAGAAAGAATTAAAAATTTTTTGGAAAAAACTCCGGACAGATTTAAATCAAAACTTGTATCTGTTAAACAACCTGCACCATCATCACGTAACTTAAACTATCTTCCTCATCCCCTTTCTAATTCCACAATACCTAAATCTCCATTTTTACGAACTAAACGAAGAGCAAAAACTAATGCTATCAAAAAACCAATTGATGAAAGACATGAAGGACACGAGGAACATGAGGGACACGAAGAACATGAAGCAGTAGTATTAGAATCAGAAAAAAATGATCAAAAGATTAATGTCAACAATAACAATAACAATAATAAGAATAATAAAGCGCAACGAATCCAAGTAACTACAACAAAAGCTGCTGCTGTCACGGTTCAGAAATTCAATAAATCAGAGAAATCGAAAAGGTTAGAAAAGTCAGAAAAATTGGATAAGTCGGATAAGTCAGAGAAACGTAATAAAGAAAATAAGAATAATCTTCGTACAAAATTCACTATGAAATATAACTCAAAAAAATCCGGTAAACCACTTACAGAACCTGTTAGTTTCGTTTTTCAAACTGAAACACGTATTAAATTACGTAAAGCTCATGACGAACAAAGAAAAGCAAACAACAATCATAATAATGAAACACTCAAAAAGGTAAATGTGAAAAAAGATCAACTACAACAATTTCAACCACAAGAATCGCGTCATTTAAGATTAGAAGCTATTAATAACGCCAATAATATCATTAACAATGATAAATAAATAATTCGTTAACTATCCGTCGTTAAAACAAAAGTAACTAATAATAATAGTAGTGATAAATATTGGTTCTGTCTAGTTATCTATTTACACTATTTTACAACATTATTATTATTTACAAAGGTTTTTGGTTGAGTGTAATGAATGAACGAAAACCATTATTAGAAAATAAAATAAAATAAAGGTCTTATGTTCAGATTCAAAAAATAAATAAATAAAAAAATAAATTTATTAATTTATTTATGAGCATTATTAACATTATTATTAACATTATTAAACATTATTAACTATTATAATTTGATATGGTACATTATTATTTATATTTATTATTATTTGTACTAAACACGTGCACACGTTTAACGCAATTACAATTCCCTCTTTCTTCTTCGCCTGGAGATCCGTTTTAATTCACCAATGGTTACGGTAGATATATCTATCGGTTGACCATTATATTTAATACCATTTCTACTAATTTCAAGATCTCCGTCAAGTCTTAAATCTCTCATCCATTGTTGTATAATATAAATTTGTTCGCGAAGTTCTTGCGGTATATTATCAAGATCAACCATTTTTCTTTAAAAAATTATTTATTGTGATGGAAATTATTATTATTATTATTATTATTATTATTATAATGTCGTGGTAATGTTGACTTTCGATAATTATAAAATGTATTACTGAACTGATAATAAAAATAATAGAATCAAATAATTTTAATAAATTAATTAAAAAAAAAAAAATAATAATAATAATAAAAAATTAATTGTTGTTATCAAATATGTAAATGTAAATAACTCACGAAAATTATAAAAGATGTAAAAATTTTTTTTTTTTTTTAAAGATGAAATGTTCTTATTTATATGGATTATATGATTTATTGGGTTGGTAACACTTAAATCAAATTTAATTTATTTTAATTATACTCTATGAACCTTGCTTGGATGATCACTGATCATTTCTTCATGATCACTTAAAAAATTTTATAATCGTTGTGGATCCTCTCTTATTTTTAACTTTTCTCTTATTTTCTTTAATTTTCTTGATTGGTACCTTCGGGTAGCATCCTCCTTTTAAAAAAAAATAATAATTAAAGATATAATTAGACAATTGGTTAATTGTGACAAATAATAAAAAACCTTTTAAGATTATATAATCATTTTAGCACAGCCCAGCAATACAATTAAACACATGTATGTCACAAAAAAACTTTATTTGTGGCTGGCTGCATACAAGAAATTACACACGTGAAATACCACAAATACTGATTATGTGCGAGTTTAACATCCAAAAAAAAAGTTCATTCCGTGACCAGCCACAATTAAATAATATATCATTTGTCAGAAGTATAATTAATTACTAAATAACTAAATCCTATAATAAATTAATAATAATTTAATCATTAATTACTAAATAAATAACTAAATCTATAATAAATTAATAATAATTTAATCATTAAATAATAATTTAATTTTCATTTAATTTATCTATAATTTGAGCTGCTTCTACCCATAATAAACTTGGATCTCTAGCATTCTTTTCATTATAATATAACCTAAAATCAGCTGGTCGAAAATCAAAATCTAATACCACATTAGGATCTTTTAAACTATATGCCTCTCTGAAATTGAAGCCAAGAGAAGTACCTAAATACTCAAAATCTGGTACATATTTTATTTTTAAATCAATTAAAAATCTAAAAATATCATCACTATCCAAATTATTTCCTCCTGTAAATGAAGAATATGATAATTTCTCTTCATAAAGACCTCCTACAGCAATTGTACGTATTTTACCAGCTTCGCTAAGAAATTCAGTAATAAGAGAACAAGCTGAACCACAAACACCATTAGTAATAATAATCGTGTTTGTATTATTCCAAGGCAATTTTAATTTTTTTTCACTATTAGGCTCAAAATTATGTTTGTTAGAATAGCTTGAAAGGGTACCACCTCTTTTATATTTATTAGATCCTATAAAATCTGCTGCATTCTTAAAATATTTGCCGGTTCGGAAGTCAATAAAAGAAGTGGGATCAAACACACCATTCGTGCCAACGGAAGCATTAATTGCTTTTCTCACTAATGGAGATTCAACAGATATATCATCAGGAAAGATGGCACGTTTAGAAGGTACAAAGAAAGAATTAAAATATTCAGCAAAAACAACGGAACCACCGCGATTATTTGATAAATCAAGAACAAGCTATAATAAAATACATGAAATACATATATTACATATTAATAAAAATAAAATATATTATATCTAAAATTCAAAAAATAAAACATAAATAAAAAAATATTTACCTTCTTAACTCCTTTTTCAGCCAACAATTTAAATCCTTTTACTAAATCGGCACCCAGAGGTACTGTACTAACAACTACAATTCCAATATCACCAGATTGATAAAATTGAATGGCCTTTCTATAAGTTGCAAATACTAAAGTAGCTTGACTTAAACTGTATTTTGGTTTAGAAGTATTGGGTGTATCAGATTCAGTTTCAGTTAATGTTTTAACATAGTGATGACTATATGGAATAGTTTTTTGGGGGTCTATGACTTTTTTGGAAGTCGCATCATTAATTGTCCACAAACAATTATTTTCAAAGAAACTTTTGGAATCCTTGAAACCAGTTGTGTAAGTTGAACCTATAAGCCATTCTCTCTTAAAATTTTTTGGTTGTTTATTGTTTGGACAATTTAAAGTGTATTCAATACCATCCGATTCAGGGATATCTTCTCGCAAAACAAATTCACTTCCAAGACCTGATATATCAAGGACACCATTTACTAAAGATAAAGATGTTAATGCATTATTAAAACGCACACCCAAATCACGCGATATGAAACTATTATTTTTGGCAAAATTTGTAATTTCTTCAATGGCAGGTTTAGAATTGATCAATGTTACTTCGCAATCGATATTTGTAGAATCAAGGAAATCATGGAAAACTTTAATAACCTAATACAAATAATAAGCATAACAATAATAAGAATAAGGTAAATTATGATTATTATTATTAATATAACATTAAGCAATTATCATAATGAATTATTCGAAAATATTATAATAACCTGTTTTCCATTTTTAACTACTGAATATAAATATAATTGTTGGTCAAAAGAAAATTGAGAATAACAAGAAGCGTAGAATTGTGTATGCCCGTCATGGAGTTTAATATAAAGTTTTCGTATATCAGTCTAAAAAAATAAATAAATTATAAAATAATTAAAATGAAAATATTTGACAAATGACCGACATTAATTAATTTCTTATGAAGAAAAAAATAATAAAGATTGATAATATTAAGAGAAAAAGATTGAATACCAGAAAATTGTAATCCGTTTTATAATTAGTGGCAAGAATTTTATCTAATTCCTTTTCTAGATCAATTGGATCAAATGTAAATCCTGGATGTGGTTGTTCTTTAGCTTGATTGTTGAATACATAGAAATCATTGGTGAGCGATTTTAACGTTTCAATGGTCTAAATTTAATTTAATAATTTGTAATTTGTAATTTTATTATTAGTGAGAATTAATAAAGATATAATTAATCCTTAATGATCTTTAATTTTTTTTAAAAAAAATAATTCACCGATTTAGCTCTAGTCTTATTATATGGGAAACTCGTTAAACAATTTTCTACATCTTTAAGTTTAGGATTTGAATTCCCAAGAAGTGGTACACATGGATCTTTATTATCATTATCATTTATAGGATGAGCAATTACAGATAAGAGAAGAAAGAAAAAGGAAATTAGAGAATATAAAAAATATCTATAATTGTTCATTATTATAAAAATTATGAGGACGAAGCAACGAAAAAATACTGAATCCAAAAGTTAAATGATTCACATACTCTTCGCTAAAATATGCTAACATTTTGACTAAATTTTTGTGAGATTCGAATTTATTAAACGAATCTTTGATTAGGAAAAAATCGTCATATCTTAATTGTTACTACCATATTAGGCTAATAAATAGATATTACTAAACAGTTTTATTATTTATTTTAACCATAAATTTTTTATTTTGTGAGGAGTTGGCACCCCATAGATATCATTCTTGTATATCAAATTATTTTTTCAATTCAATAAAATAACCATAATAATTAATAATATGGAACTTTTTTTTTCAGATAGAATAATAATAGTAATAATAAAATAATGCATTTCTTGCCGTATGACATTTGTTTTATTCGAAAAATAAAATTTTAAAATAAAAAATTATTATTAACTAACAAGTCATTTTATTCTATTTTAATAATAATAGAATTTTTTTTTCTTGCTAAAACTTTAATAATTAAATATTTAGATAAATGATTATGAATAAAATATAATATATAAAATATTGAATTAAAAATTATTAATAAAAATATGCACGTACAATGAATCTAATAATGAATAAAAATAAATTTTTTAGTTTTGGGATTGCGAGTTTGAATTCGAAGGACTAGCAACTCCAAGTTCTTGATCAACTAAAATAAAATAAAAAATAAAAAATAAAAAATAAATTTTGCAAACATATAATGATTTATAAATAAAAAAAATAATTATTAATAATTACCACATGATTTATTTGAATTATCAGCTTCAATATTTTAAAGATATTGTTGTTCCATTTCTGTAATTACGTTAAATTTCAGAAATAAATATCATATAAATTCATTCAATAAGCAAATAAAAATAATTTTACTTTCAGAAATTTCAAAATCAAGTTGACCAGAATCAAATGCTAAATGTAAAAACATGTATATTATTATTTTAATATGGATTAAAATAAAGAT